TAGCGCACCATTGAGTGCACAAATAAATAAAATAAAAATTTCTATTTTTTCTTTAGTAGTGAGCCAACTTGCACTTACAGTTTGGCTTTTAAACCCCTCTACCCTGTAGCAGAGCGTGCCCAAACACCCTACATAGAAATACGATCAGCTATACCTAACAGAGCAACTATTCCGTGCGAAGTATTTGACAGCACTTTAGATAATCAGTACAGATCAGATACACCATCTGAACTTGAAAAAGGGGTGAGCACCAAAAACTCATTCCGAAAGAAAATTGAAATTGAAAATCCTAAATTGTGTGCAATTCCTGACGTCTTCGAACGGGTCCCATAGCGGCCCCACGTTGTCTACAAATTTGGATCAAAATGAGATTTGGGACACGACCATAGTGGAATTCGAACGCACAAGTTATTCTCGGTTTAAAACAGCAGCAAAATTTCATTGTCTATCTTCAGCACAGCGACATTATAATAACCTTTGACGGTACTTGAGGTTCCTGAAAGTAGATTAGATATACGCTACTCTCCCATCACTCACAATATTTACCATGACTCCTCAACCACATGAACAGAACAAACTCAAGCCGGATTTGAGTAGACCAACACGTCCTCAATGCGTTTGTACATAACACAGCTTTGTCGCCAGGGCTAGGTGGTTACGAATCCAAACATCTGGCCAACATAGAAAGCCACATGGGTCTGAGTTAGGTTTCACGTTTCACGTCAGCCGCGAGGGACTGCCGTAAAATTATTTAAAACATTACAAAGAAAACAAACAATGCTTCGATAGGTGCAGCTCAAATTCGAGCTGCAAGGTTTCACGCGCCCGTTAGAATCTGTCCCATAATGGGGATGGTTGGCAAAGTGATAGTGATATCAATTTCTTCTCCATTCTAGTAGTAAAAATTTACAAGAAAAAACTGAAAGCATCGACATTCGAAATCTTGTGGTATATTCCGTTTTAAAGAGAAAATAAAGGTGAAAAGAGGAGCGACAGCGAAGAAAGACAAACAAAGGACACCATTGAAAGTGCCATGAATGAGGCCACTATTATACGGGGAATTTTCGAGCCCGCGATGGGGTAGGGCGTATTCGGACGAGTTTTGCGAAGCTGTAGCGTCACATCAGCAAACGATCTACTGGCGAGTTCAATCATTTATATGTCAGTTTTTACCTTGAATGTGACAATAAAACATGTAACAGATTCCGTGTGCTGTTCTTGAAAAATTTTTGCAGTGCCTCTGGAGAAGTTTTGGGCCTGTTGCAATGATTTTTGGAGTCTCAGAAACTACAGAGTACCATTACCTTCTAAACGGACTTCTAGTAGAGGTACCTACAGTAGCGGTCAAAAGTGTTCGCCGAAATGCTTTTTCGTGCATTTCATTTCTTCCCTCCATAAAGATCTGAAGATTAGTTTGAAGCCTTTCTTTCAAATATCTGAACTCTTCAACAGTCAAGGTTTAGAGAGCTTTTAAAGGCATGTCTTACTAATACTGAAGAGCACTGTTTGACTGAGAAAAAATGATGCACGAAAAACGTTTTGGCGAACACTTTGACCGCTAGTTATCATGTAATCACAAAACTGTACATTCTTTTTCTTTTAAATTGCAGACTTAAACTTCAAGTAACCACTTGACCACTTAATAAACAAGTCCTCGAAGGGAATTATGACAAAAAAAACTGTAGCTTGAAACGGCAACATACCCGTTCATTTGTTTTGCGTCAAACATTGGATTCGTAGGAATAGCACCATTGGAAGATGGATAAGGATTGGAAGGTGTATTGAATCCCTAAAGAAATATTATTGAATCCAAATACCCTCGCAGAAAACCTATTCTAAAGAAAAAGCATTCAAAGCATTGCGATGATAGAAGAAGAATGCAGCAAGTTTCAGGAAAGATCGATAATTGAACGGCACAGAAAAATTAGCAATAATTTCCCCAACATGATTCATATGAAGTTGATACGACTACCAAACTGAAACTACGAACTTTGCCTTGTGAATGAAAGAACAACATAAGCTGAGGGAGGTGAGGAATATAGTCCAAAACAGCCGAAACCGGTGCTTGGATTATTCGATCAACCCTGATGAAACGTCATTCAACGTAAAATCAAACCTGTTGGTAAGCATCGGCTGGAAAGGCAAAACCTTGAGGAAAGACCGGTGACTGCGCATTGAAGGGACCAGGAGCCGGGACAGGAAAGCTAGCCGACATTCTAAACAAGAATGAAAATAATCAAATCACAACAACAGAAGTAAACAGTATTAAAAAACGTATTTAACAGTGATTATGGATATCTCAGAAAAAAGTGAAGTGTTGTTTTCTGGAAAAGCCAAAGTTTTCTCATAATGAACATCTGTGTGATGCCATTTTTCACGTAAGCAACAATAACAATGCCAAACCGAATCCCTGGGTTTCGTTTTACTACTGCTTATTTCATAGAACTCAACCCTATCATTAAAAGATATAAAGGGTTAAAAATGGACACGCTTGGAGACGCGCCATGCATCCTATTCTTCTTCAAAATCGTAATGACACTAGGATGCGTTTTGGTCTACACCTGTTTTGTGCGGCCAACCGACGCGAGTCAATGCTTCTCTTTTTCCAGACAAGTCTGCTACCAAACAAGCAACTATCGATGGAATGACAGGCTTGGAGGGCATGGACGGGATTCGATCCAGATTTGATCCTCCGACAGTGTATCGTGAATGGTGCCACTATCATAGAGTACTACCTTGAAGTGGATTGAGTACAAAGGAAAAAGAATATGTTTATTCCATATTGCTTTGACTTTTTCGGCATGGGATAAGAAAGCTTTTACAGGGCTAACGAACGAATAACAACAACACCTCTTTAGAATGTCAACGTCCATGAAGAAACTCCAATTTACGCTTCTCTAATTAAAGGACGAATTCACGATGAAAAGCAACCCATTTCAAATTAACCTAGGGATGGTGAGTGGTACACGAAAGAAGGAAGAACCATGAGAAACGGCCCAGAACCCGAGAAATGGGACCCCTTCCTTGCCCGTTGATTTGAGCATTGATGCGACTCTCATCGCTGTGCCCTCTTCAACACTACGCTCTCTCAGCTATCTAATCACTCGCCACGTATTGAACTACGGCGAGTGATCAGATGATCGGTGGGCGGAGATCGCCGGACCCGCCAGCTTTGAGGCATGATAGGTCGCCGAGGTCAAATTTTTCCATGCGAATTGCGCGTCAGTTCGCACCCTCAGGAGGTCCGTGGGTCCCTCAACTAGGTCAGTTTCCCTTTCTTCGACCTTCATTCTAATCGTGAATTCCTCCTTTAACAGATAGTTCTAAAAAAGATTGAAGAGATAGGAGTGATCTCATATTACAAGGGTCAATTATTCCGCCGGCAATTCCATAGTGAGGAGGGAATATGTAAACAAGGATGGATCAGTAATAGCCGATATTTTTTTTCAAAAACGGTTACGAACTTTTCAGCTTAATCGTGCTCGATTTAGTGATCCAAGAGGTAGCAGTAATTTCTCGAGCATTCCGACTCCCATTTTACTACTCAAATTTAACACAGAGTGTAATGGGAAGGGCAACGCAGCCCGATCGCCATTAGTAGTGATCGACATATCTTACGTCAGGGGTACCCCCCAGGAGGCCCGTCGCGCGACAAGAAGGCGAGTCAGCGGACGAGTTGCGCGCGTACTGTAGGGATTTCGCGTCAAGTTAAATAGAATGTTCCATTGTACGTCCTACATCGCACATCACGCGCTGCGACTCGTCCGCGACTCTGCCTTCTTGCCGCGCGACGGGCCTCCTGGGGGTACCCTTAAGCGCCCCACGAATAGAGATATGTCATTTGCGTCGCGACGCATATTCCTAAGAAGTCGCCAGCCAGTCATTTAGTAGCAAAGCACGCTACTTCTCCTAAAAGTTCCAGCAGTTTTTTCAGACTTTGCAGTTGTAACTCGCCGGATTCAATTTTGTGAGCATTTTTCATTCTACCTCGAGTTCTGCCCCTTTTGGCTTAGTCGCTAGATGATGCACCGTATCTTGCGATAGCGCCATGATTACAATTGCTAAGAGTTTAGCTATTCTTAGAGAAGGTTCTCAAATCCCGAGAGTAAGAGAAAGAAAAAGAGAGTAAAGAGTTCGTATTTTATTAAAAAGTGAGGAAATTGCAATGTGAGTGGACGGAGTCTTCGTAATTCATGTCTGCTAGGATTTTTGCACAGTATAAACAAAGGTGGAGCGGTGAGTATAAGCGTTTTGTGCAGACGTCGGATAATGGTGATAGAAGTCTATCAACTCTACGTCCTAAAATACCCTTATGCATTAGTGAAAACTGCAAAGAGGTTGCACATAGACTGGCTAGGGAGGTGTGAAAAGGGACAAACGTGGTCGCGTAAAATGACTTGTAATTTTTCCATGCTACGACCAAAAATCGCGCAACTGAGGAGCAAACATTAGCAGGATGAAAAAGTCAACAATTCCATATAAACAGCTTCTTTTTTCCCGAATGAAACCCCTTATCATCTTCTTGAACACTGTATTTCTCCCTCCCTCTCAAGAGGATGTCCAAATACAGACCCACCTTAGCGATTGCGCAGTGTGTATGACCACTAAATTGACTCTCATAGAGTTCCCCCCTAAAATTGAATCACTTAGAATTGAACTAAAAGGGCTCGTTCTCCAACGCAGGAAAAAAATAAATCAAAACAAATTGGGACTTAAAAGGAAGAAGATTCCTGGAATAAAATAAGTAAAAAAAAGTACAGTTAATCATAAACCACTTTGATGTGAAATAGCTGAGGGCAGTTACGATAATAGAGCAAAACCATTGAAAAAATAAAATAAAAAACAAGTATAAGCATTTCCCCAAATTTGCTAGTGGTAGTTTTTCCCTCGAGTTTAGAAAAAAAGAGCTTCCACAAAAGTTGATAAAGGTGATCATGAAGCAATATTGACGACTTCTAAAATTACACAAACAATGCAATAACAAATATTTAACCTTCACTCAAAAAAATTCACTTGCTTTGCCTTTGCAGCCGAATGCTGGACCGGCAAGAAAAGAAAAAATCCCTACATACTTTCTAGACGTATGAAAGGTGCTGATCACTCACGGCGGGAGGGGTTACTGTCGTGATCCTCACTGGTGGAAGAAATGGTCCCAAACACCCCCCCCCCATCCGCCCGGCGGTGAGGGTCCAACCCATAAAGAGCAGCTCAGATTTCGAAAACAATTAGAATAGAAGGCGTTGAACAAGTCAACGGCATGACTTCGTCGTTCATGCACCCCGTGCCAGTACTAGGGTCTACATATCAGTGGAACAAATTAGAAAGGAATGGTTGAATATAAGACGTCACGGTTCTCCAACTAGATCTACACACTAATTACCACATATCAAATTTCCATTGTTCCATAATTCTCTTGAACCCATCCGAACACGGAAGCGTGGGAAATTGACAACAGTTGTGTCTACATATCAGGGACGTGGCGTCTGGCCTACGTAATCCGATTGCTACGTAGGTGTCGGAAGTGACTATTTGGAAAGCTATCATGAAAACTATTCATCTATTCATCCTAGTTTTGTTATTTTATTCAGGAACGATCTATTCTCAATTTACCGGGAACCTGAAACAGATACTAAACCCGACGAGATGTCGCTGGTCAAGCCACGAAAAGAGCACGACCATCCATAGGTTGACCACTAAACAATGGAAACAAAGTGAAGCTCGGCTGATCAATTACACGTGCCAGAATGGTGAGCTCAGATGATAGAGGCTACTGGGCGAAAGATTTAGGGAATAAATGTAATGCTCAAGGTTAAAGCTTGGCTGGTTTGCAGCATTCTAAACTGAATGGCAAGCTATTTAAAGGCAAAGTTCGGGCTCAGACCCACCTAAGAAGCCCTTACCATGGCTAGAAGTGCTGGGTACGCAAGTGCAAAGGTAGCGCCACCTTTCTACATCGAAACGCGTCACTAGGACCCTAGGCGCCATGGACTTCTAACAGACTCCACCAAACTTAACATGGTCCGCCCACCGTTCGATATCTTGTCTGCGTCGCCACGTTGATCTGCTATGCTCTCTCTTCTCGGACTTCTCTACCGCTCTCCGCGCTCACATTATCTCTCATCTCCCTGCCTGCCTTTTGAACTTCTCCACAGCATAGAGCAAAATGCTCGTATTTCCTGTGTATTTCAGGATTTTCTTTCCTTTTTTCTCCACTGGCGGTCCACCTCCCATCCCTACTTTCACATTTGAGTGGAATCACCCCATCAATTTAATCCTGATTCTTGCCTTTGAGGGGATGAACCCGGGATAGTACTTAGGTATTGATAAAAGGAGACGTACATCTACAAAAAATCAGCGATTGAAATAAAATAGATCAAAACTCGGTTGAGGAAAAAATAAGTAGTGAATGTATGAAATTATCTAACCTAATATAGAAACAAATTTTTCAAACAATCAAACAACAACAATTCAACAAATGAATCATCCCGTTTTATTATTACTTTGAATACGATCGTGTTACCCACATTTGATAAATATAATTATTTGAACTTGTTTGAATTTATTTTTATCAAGCCATGCCACAAAGAGCTCGACAACTCGACATTTATTAATCCCGACAATGGATTGGCTGTATTGGAAGCTCAAGCGAAAGAATTCTTCAAGATGTAATTCTATCGTTAAGCAGTTATCGGCACAAGAAAGGAAATGTTCAGAATTGAAATTCTGTCGCCAACGATTCCCATGCTAAACTCCAAAACCAGGAGCTAAGAAAGAGCGCTTTCACAAAATTTTTGTACTCCAAGATCTAAACCAAAATTTAGCACTGACTACATAAACTGCTGAAATTAAATAATACTGAGCTTTGCAAATTCTGCACGAAAAGGACAGTACACAAGCTGCCTCAGCACAAACGCCATTGTAATTATTGGATTGATCAGAAAGTCCTTAGCTCAACCCTTTTCAAAAACATCATAAGAACGAACCAGCCTGGAGATCACAAGTAGCCCTCTCACCATCTGTCATTCACTCACCAACACTCAAACAGCTACTCGACTTCCATTTCCCGGAAGGATGGGAAATGGGACATAAAGTTATCAAACGGCTCTTCAAGCTGAAACTTCGCCTCGATTTTTTCCCTTTGTGGAGCATTGGAGATGACCCAAGGGCCAGTAGTCGCCCAAACCAAAATTTAGCACTGACTACAAAAACTGTTGA